ATCTGAAAAAAATATATGTTAAACTACAACTAATAAACTTTATTTTAATATAAAAATAAAAATTATTTCTTATTAAATTTATAAATTTTTATATAAAGAGAAAATTTTAATTTTCACTATATTTTATTAGTAATATAAATTTGTATAACTTTCAATATAAAATAAAAATATTAGATTTTTTTATTTTTTTAATTATATCTAATATTTTAACATCTCATATAATATTATATATTTTATTATATTACAAATTCTTTTTGATATAGAATAAATTAAATTTATATAATAATTTATATAAATTTTCTTTCAAACTAGCTATATTTTTTTTTATAAGTCTTTCATATCTGAAATTAATTCAGAAAAATATCAAAAATAATAATCTATTTTATTTCATAAATATTTATTTAGATTCAGATTAGATAATTATGCTGACTAATTTAAACAATTATAATATTTTTGATTGAATTATCTTTCTTTAGCTTAGATCTTTATTTTGCACTATCTATATAACAGATTAGCTTCTATATTATATTTTATAAAGATTAATTTTTATTCTGAATATACAGATAATTATCTATATATTTAATATATTAGATTTAACATATTATTACACAAATAATCATTATGTATACCTATATTATTAATTTAGATAATTAATATTTTTAATTAGATTTCTTTTAATTAATTCTTTATATTTTTACTTATTCTTATTTATTATTATTATTTATATTATTATTTATTATATTATTAATTATTGAATTATGATTAGTTACTTTCTGAAGTCATAAATTAAGTTAATTAATTATGTTCAATACACATATATTTTAAAATAAAATTATTATTAATTTATTCATATTTCATATTCATTTCTTTTTACTATAAATAAGTACTGTCTGTTTTGTAAATTATTCTTCAGATCTGAATACTTTTAAATAATAAAAACAATTATAAGTTATAAAATTAAAACTGTTCATATCATATTTTATTTTATTTATAATCATTAACAAAATAATCTTATAACAATAATATAATTATCATCAAACTACTCTTTTATCAAATTAACTATATATTTAAAATCATTATTCTGTTAGAAAATAATCTTATTGATAGCTAATCCATGTTTTTTAATAGTATTCATAAGATTTTCTTCAAAAATTTGTCAATATAATATACTATTCATGTTCTTACCAATCTTATAAAGTTACTAATATTATAAAAGATAAAACAATTCCATATTATTACTTTTTCACCATCAAATTTTACCATAAATTTAATATGATAACTTTTTAATGATTCATCTATTCTTTTCCAATAGTACTATTTTTCTATCAGATCCAAAAATCTGGAACTTCAATTCATCAGATCAAATTATCTCTGATCAATCTTCATAGATCTAGTTTTTATATTTTTTTGTGAACTTAAGACAACACTATTGGTATTTGGCCTTCAGATATGGTTTTTTTCCTTTATTCTCATTACTAAACCATTCTTTTTTAGTGTACAACAAATAGTATGCTCTGAAATTTTGATTTTTCAGTTTCATGAAGATGATTTTGGATGGCAATGGCAGTGAAACAGTTATGGGATGTAATAAGATGGACTGTTGTTCTTTCTAACTGGTCATTTAATAACTATGGATGACCAGACTTATATCATTTAAATATGCTGTTTGTACCATTTTTTATTAATGCGTGAGATGGTGGAAGAACTAATTTTATGAGTTGCTATTTCTCTTGTGATGTATCCATTTTGAAGTCAATGATTATTTCAGCTCTTTCAAGATCATATGATGTTTTGATGTTTGTTTTTTATTGTTAAAAAGCTGTAACATAATTTAGAAAAAAAAAGATAAACAAAACAGTAGCGACTTCTGTGTAGCATTACTTACCATTTGATCTCTTGAATAAAAGATCAAAAGAAATGCAACACTCATTTGTGTGAGTTCACGGATTTATCTCAAAATTGTGTTTAATAATAGTAAATTAAATTTTAATAAATAAAACTGGTACTATTAATATACCATATTTATTAATTTTATTAAATTTTGCTAGCGACTTATAAATATATCGCGATTTAATAATTTTCTATTTTGCGTTGCATTACTTTTGATCGCCACTGTACACCGTGGGTTTTTCGTAATTTCCTACGCATTTCGAGCAGAAACTTTTCGAGTTCCTTATGCATCCCTCAAATACATCCTATGAAGTTCTGACACGTACGTAATCATCGCGTACGACTCCGTATAAATCACGTAAAATCCCGGATGCGTAGGGCAATGAAAATAAAAATATGACATATGTTAAATTTTCAATTACGTGAAAAAATAAGAGTTAAATATTTTTTAAAATATATAACTTTACCTAACATGTTCGTTCGCAACTATTAATTAAACATAACAATGAATGCATATCAACGAGGTCAAAATTTTTGAACCACGGCTTATTTATAAAGATGTTGGGAATTATAATTTTACGTGTGTGAGATAACGATAAGATTTTCACAAGTATTATTAAGTTATTATGTATCTAATAGTAAGGGAATTTGAAAGCACTTGGGTCATAGAATCATATGGGCGTGATGAACTTTCATTCTCTGAAGCTGGAAGATCTTGGCACAGGTACATGCTGAATATGTTTCATATCATATTTATCTTGTTAACGCTCATAATTATTGGCTTAATTAATTACTAACACTAACACATTGCGTTTAACAAATTATCATCTTTGGTCATATGAAAGAACTAAGGATTGTTGATTTATTAGCAAAAGTTACATTTAGGCTTGGGAATTTTATATATTGGCCAATGGAGACTAAAATAGATTTATTACAACGAGACTAAATTAAAAATACTAAATTAAGTGAAACTACTTTTTTTATTTAAAAGCGGGCCCGCCGAATCCTCCATCTTGGCGAGTATAAATCTCGTTAGCACTATTGACACCCCAAAGAATACCATCCACACTAATTGAGACATCTTTAAGACGACCATCCCACTTGAACCATGTTCCATTACGATATTGATAAATTTCATCATTGTCGTTCACGCCAACCACAAATGACGCGCCGCTGGTATAAATCTGTTTAAGTTTACCGTCGATGTGATCCCTACATAGGAAAAATTAATCAGGAAAGGTGCTACTGAAAATCATAAAAATAATGATTTCGTACCAATTAGCACCATTCCATCTATAAATATCCTTATTTCTGTTAACTCCCCACACAGCACCATCAGCAGCTACAGATACATTAGTCAATCCTCCTGGCACTATAATTAAGAATGACTTGATAAATAAAAATTACAATTTTTGAAATCTATTTCACCTGACCTTGAACCCAATCACCGTTAACATCTCCATTAGTTCGGTAATAAATCTGGTCCTGACGATTGACACCCCAAACATGATGCTTATCTCCAACTGCAACAATAAAAAATTGTTAAGCATTAAAGGACAAGAAAATTTTCATAAATTTATAAATACCAGATATTTGGACCAAAGCACCATCTATTTTTATCCTTTTAAATAAATGAGAGTTATGAGTGAAATCTAGAAGTATTAATAAGATAGAAAACTTACCAATTATTATTAACGCGAGCATAGATCTCATCTTTACGATTAACACACCAAACCGTCCCATCAGCACCGACCCCAATATTGACCGCTTTCCCGTCAATTTGATTCCAACCATTATTGTATTGATAAATCTATTCCAATATCAAAGAGCATAATGACTTTAATGAGAAGTATGGGAGAAAGAAGAAAAAAGATAATTCTATTACATCATCTTGGGCATTAACACCCCAAACATTATTGCCGCGACCAACAGCGAGTTGAGTAAGAGCACCGGAAATTTTTTGCCAACTCATATTAATATGGAATATGGGAGAAAGAAATTTTTTGCTTTTGTAAAGAACTAATTTTAAAAGTTTTTATAAAACATGTACATGCTATTTATATTCTATTTTTCTATTCTTATTGGTTCTTTATACGGCGTGCGAACAAAGCATACCAATTCAATATCGTTGGGTAAAAAATCATGAAAGGTGTTTATTCACCTGAACGGGAGAATTTTTTTTCTGTTTTATTTTGATAAGGTGGCGTGGGAATGAAGAAATGTTTATTTAAGAAGCATATCATAATTCTGATTGAGATAGACAAATTTTGATTTAGATTTCCCGAATAGGAAAATTAAAAGATGCGGATGATGTCATGGCCATAAACCACCGCCACATATACATGTATGAACATGATGTTATCCGTAATCTTGTTTATTTTACTATCATTTCAAGTAATCAAAGATGGAATCGAATATTTATGATTGTAGTAACGAATGTATTAATAATAAAGACTGCGATGATGCTAATATTATTATTCTTATGATCATTTATTTACAATTAACTGTTGTCTTTAATTTAACAGGTTGATATGTATGAACCCTGCCAAAATTTTAGAAACTTCTCGACAGATTTCGGATGAAACAACTTTATAGGATTCTGTTGATGCGAGTTTGCATTGCGGTTTAATAATTGACAAATTCCGAGAATGGTTTTTATTCTCTGGAAATCTTTTTCTTTACATTAGCAAATTTTACAAAAATGTATATGTGTTTCCTAGTTAAAGAATATAATGCTTATTATTGTTCAATATTTTCATGAATAATATTATAGTACAAGTTAAAAAAAGAATTCCAATTCTTCAGTGAGCATCTTCTTGTAAATATCATATCAATTTATGCATAATACTTTTGAGTACAGAAATTTGAAAGCATAATATCTAAATAATAAGTTAAAACTCATTATTTTAAACTAAAAAAATTTAATCTATTTGGAAAATATTAATTATATAATAATTTCTAATAACAAAATCTTAAAAATAAAGATTTTATTTAAATTTTATAACTTATTAATTACTAAATATATTGGAATTAAAAGATTTATATCATCATTTCTTAATAATTTATTAATCAAAAATAAATAAAATTATTCATAAATATATTACTAGTTATAAATCTTATCAATATAATAAAAGTATTAATTAATTATTCTCTAAATTATTATTATTTCTAATATAAATGAAATAAGTTATTATAAACTTTATTATTATTTCTTATTACTAAATTTAAATATAATATAATAATTATATTTGTAAATAAACTTTTAAAGAGTATATAAATATATTCTTGATATAATAATTCTTTGATATAATGAAGTCTAATTAAAATTATGATATAATAAACTTGAGTTTAGAAATAATTTATTATAAATTATATAATAATTCGATTTAATATAATATATAATGAAGTTTTGAAATTTTTATATATAGATCTGACTATCTCATTATATTGAAAGTGACTTTATATTTTATATTTTTATAATTAAATTGTTAAAATAATTTTGATTAGATTATATTTATTTTAGACTAGATCTTTATTTTATGCTTTAATACTATATTTTAATTTCATATCACTTTATTTAAAAATTAATTTCATTTTGGATATACAAATAATTATTATGTATTTAATTAATTAATTTAGATTTTATATATATTATTATGCAGATAATTATTATATATTTTCTAATTATTAATTTAGATAATTAATATTATTAATCAGTTTTCTTTTAATTATTCTTTTATAATTTTATTTATTATTCTTTTATTATTATTTATCATATTATTAATTATTTATATATTATTAGATTAAATATAGTTAGCTCTCTAGAGATATAATATGAAATTATTAATTTAATTAAATAAAATTAATAAGTAAATTAGATTATTAATTTATTTATATTTTATATTTATTTATTTTATATAAATATATTAATTTTGATTTATAATTTAATTCTCAGTTCTGAATATTTTTTCAAATAATAAAATTATAAATATTTATAAATTAAAACTATTTATTTTATATTTTATCTTATTTACAATTATAAACAATAATTTTATAACTTGATAATAGCAGATTTAATTATTATAATATCATTCATTATATCTTATACTATATAATATTTTATGCTTTACACTTATATTTTAGTTTTAATTTAATTTAATTATAGTAAATATAAATAAAGAATAATTCAAGAATTTATAAGAAGCATAGCTAAATTAATTAAATTAACAAAAGAAGATTCTAAGTTCTTATCTTGTCTTTCTATTAAACTATCTATTTATTTTGGAGAATTAAATAAAAATATTCTAATTTAGATTATGCAAGTTAAATTATATTTGAATTCAAGATATTAAAGAAGAAAAGATTTATATATTATCATCTTCTTGACAGATATTACTCTATATTAATATCTAAATAAATATAAAAACTTGAATGATACATCCTATTATATTCAAAATAACTTTGTAATCACACTTAGAATATTTTTCAATCATCATATTTTAGCAATATCTTTATCATTAACTGCATTTCCTTTATCAGACTGGATCTATATAAGATTATGATATCAAATTTAGGAATATAGCTGAACAGATTGTAGACATGAGTAATCTAAATCAAGTCACTTATTTTATAGAAGATCTTAAATCTACTACAAAGATGAAAGTTAGTTATCAAGTACCAGAAACTTTAGAAGAGGCATGAAAACTTGCCATCCATTATAATACTATAAGGAGAACCAGTGAGCATACAAAGCAGATATACTAATAATTGCTCATATCAATATTAGAATAGAAGTTATCAAAATCAAAACCAAAATAGTGGCATATCACTAATTATTTGTTTAATAGATCTTTATTTATGTTTTATTGATTATTTTGTATAACAGATCTTACTATATACATGTATTATATTTTCCACACAAACCAGATCAAAAAAAATTTTTCTCGTTAACATACGTATCTAAATTTTTCGATTTGCAGTAATTCTTTGATTGTGATAAAATCAATACCTATAAAAATGCCTGCATATTCAGAACCAGCGTCACCTACGAACTATGGGGGATGTAATAAAGGACTATGATACCAAGGAACTTATCGATTATTTGCGGAGCAATAATTTAAAACTTAAGGAGTTCCACTTTGAGATTTTTCGTCAAGAAAAAATAATTGGTTTTGATTTTCTTGAATTAACAGAAGGAAAGTTCCGCAGTTATGGATTTAAAGGAGGACCAGCAACTAGACTTGCTAAATTTGTTGAAGAGCTTAATGAGGCAAAATTACGAAGTTTCTCGTCATATAAATAGATAAGCTAAAGGATTTGCTCAAGAAGTATAAAGTCAATGGGGAGGAGATAACTGATATCAAACAATTTAACCCAAGTATAAATAACTTTATTTATTATTGTATGTTATTCTGTGATCAAATAATAATTTATTTTTCGAAAAAATCGATGATGATGAAGAAGCCTTAAAACATTGTATAGATGATATAATTCTTATTTTATCAAATATTGAAACAATGACTGATGCTAATGAAGCTACCCGTTGTGAATTTATTTCGTCTATCCTGCATGCCTCACAATTGCTCGAAGACATACCAAAGAACAAAAACTTTATATATCATTACAAAAAGATGTTTCAGGTGAAGACGCATCAGATCGGGTTGATTACATAATTAAGGGAAAAGGAGAGCTTATGTGTATTGCTGAGGGGAGCTACGTAAGATCAAAATTGGGTATCTCCAGAATATCAAACAATTAGAAGATGTTTGCCATGCTAATAAAAATAAGAGAATACGAACTGCAAAGCAAGCCTTTAATAATGATGAATATGACTATCTTTACGGGATCGTTTCCGTAGGTATGTTAATTTTTATAAAAATAGTATTAATATCTTTTATTTATATTAATTTTACCTTTTATTTCTTTTCACAGAATGGTATTTTATTATATTTTCGTTCGGCCGATGGTACTAGTGAGGATGAATATCAAATAAACCTTTCAAAAACTGCAATCAAAGAAGATATTGGTGTCCTTCGAAACAATTTACAACGAATAATTGGGAATATTGTTGAGTTATTAAAAACAGCAAGTAACGAACCAGAAATTAAAAGGCGTCGTGTACAGATAAAACAGTAGATAGATTCTTATTCTGTATTTTTATTATTACATCATGCAACGAGTATCTATATACCTTATATTTTATTTGTAACAATAGACTATGTTTTTTCTGAATGTATTTTTATTTTTTCCGCGTAAAAAAATCTGACTCCGGTGGTCGTTATATCACACAAAATCACATGTGTGCTTCATGAAATATTTTTCCCGAAATATTACAATTAATGTTATGCATATATAATCGAGAATTTTTAAAATTTTTCTTGGCATCTCCATTCGCACATGTGATTTTTTTACTTGCTAATGTTTTTTCATATAATTAATTGAATATATCCGTATTTTGTATAAAAAAATGGCAAATGCACAACCCAAAGTCGATTCATTAGAAGAACAAAATTCCAAACTTGTAGCTGAGATCGCGGAATTAAAAAGAGAAAGGGCTGAATTCTTGGCCAAGGAAGCGGGTTTTATAGCCAGAATTATGGAATTAGAACAAACATCTGAAGTTAGGTTCGTAAATCTCGAGCAGAAAGATAATGAAAAGACCATCCATATGGCAAAGAAGAAGATGAAATTAAGGAAATTAAAAAATCTTCGGTTATTACCGAAATGGCAAATTCTGATTATATTCCTGAACAGGTAGAATTACGATGTGATGAGTCAAAGACTCGTGCCACCGCCGATTCCTTACACTCATTGTCGGGATTAAATATATACAAAAAAAAATAGTCAACACTATTAATCTGGACACGAGCCTGCGAGTGGACAAGGGCACTGATACTCCTGCATCTGATAATACTGATGATGCTTCAGCACAAATGTGCAGGCTTACGCCAAATTCTAATAAATCTAACATCAATATTGATCCTTATTCTGATGAATACCAACCTATCCACACAGGGCCGAAATCATTAGATGATACGAAGACCGAAAAATTTGTGGTTAGAAAAGATAAGGAATTAGGAAAAGAAGCTTCAACATACCATTTCTTCTGAAATAAATTTTACAACTGAAGTTTCCCAAGATGTTATCACCCATGTTCAAAAAATAATTCATTCATAATCTCAAACCAGAGCAAATAACCATTTATCAGACACAAGATACCGCTTCTCCCAAAGCGACGGAGTTAAAGAAAATTCCCTATAGCCAAAAAGTAGAACAAGGGCTAAGACATGAATTATCAGTATGTGTCAAAAATAATAGTAGTGAAATAAATAATGTATTTGATATACAGATCCCCGAATTTTCTTAAAAACAATCCTAACAGGATCTAGGGAGGCCACGGTAAAAAATATAGCTGTCTTATTGAACGTTGCTATGAAGACTAGACAAAAGAAGATTTTATACTGGTATTGTTACTATAAAAACATACGAAGATAGAATTAGAAATGTTAGAGCTATGAATAAAATTGACATCAAATCTGCAGAAACATTGGCATATAATGAAAACAAATCACTTTTACCTGATGTCACTGATGTAAACTTGCGCAAAACAAACTTTCAGAACTAAAAGAGTTTATATATTGTTTGAAGGTATAGGAATAGATAAAATTAACCAGGTGCATGCGCCATTTCAAGTCTAAAGGATATTCAAATTCAAAATATCATAAACGATTTTTCTAAGTCAACTACATGTATTATGAATGAAGATCGAAGAGTAATCTCCGTTCCAAATTGGAACGTTCGCGTGACTGAACAACCCAGTTCAAACGATTTTATCAAGCACTAAGGTCTTCAGAGAATGATCAAGCTTTAAAATTACCGAAGTAAATATATCCATGACGATGATGAAAACGATGATGAGGATGAATATGATAATAAGGAATCTTCCGATGATAAGGAGGAGATAAATGAAATAAAAACAATGCTTTCTGATGAAGGTGCAGGATATTACATGTGCTAGCAATACTGTAACTTATAAAAATCGGATCATCTAATATTAATAATAAATGATTACATATACAATAAAAATAATGTAACTTTGTTAGCGGAGCCTTTAGTTTTGCTAAAGATATATGTTTTTACATTGTTACATGTTGATCGTTAATTGACATACATTTATTACATTTTATAATACAATATAAAAAAAGTGCAACTTCGAGATCGTGACGCGCGTTACGAAGTCAAAATTCCACCCACTCGTGATCATATAACAATATCTAGAAATTAGTATTCTTCCTAACCTGAGATGTAAACATATTTGATATTGTCCTCACTTAAATTTGAAATAGAATTTACCGTGTACGATTTAATTCGTTGAAATAGAATTTACCGTGTACGATTTAATTCGTTGTATATATACCATCCGTTGAATTTTATCATCGTTGAGGTCAAAAAAGAGATCATAAATCTTCCTTGATCTTTCTGTTTTTTTTTCAGAGTGTATATTTCGCAACCTCTTTTGGGAGTTGATCCCTAACTTCATCATAAACCTTCTTCCTGGCTTCATGATCCTCATTCGTTTCTCTAACTCCTCTCCAAAATAATAATAACTTCTTAGGACCTCATGACATGCATTTTCGCTTTGTTCTTCGGCCGTGGAAATTTTTAGGTACAAATCAAAAAAGATTCTAGAACCCTCTACTTCTCATACCGATTCTTTGTGGAGTCCTTTTTTTCTTTAACCTCGGAATTCGGTGGTATCAGAAGACAATTCCCAAGTAAGCCTTTTAATAAGATAGAATTATCTTAACTGCTTTTTTGGCTCTTTTACTAGAGGAATTTTCATTAATTTGTCCATTGCTTATTATTCCGCTTGTTAGTATTTGGTTGATTTTCGAACAGAGTTTCTTCGGCGTCAACCATTTCTTCACCCATTTCTTCAGGGATCTCTTCTCGAATTGTCGGTGAATTTATCTGAAACTGATTACTCATTTTCCCAACTATTGATGCTGTACTTGACTGAGACGATTGTATTGAAAATTTTCTCCCAGTAGGGATTGCGGATTCGACAATTTACCACATTCAGGGGGAGGGCATTTATTCTATTCTAAAAATAAAATTTTTTTCGATACAATATCGATAATATATATGACCACATGCCAGGATTTTCAATGGTCAAAAGCAATTTCTAACGCCAAGGGAGAATTCTGAGTCAAGATTTTTTTATCATATTCCTCGCAATTTTTCAACTCCGGAAAATTTTCATTCTTAACTATGTCGTCGTTGATTTTTTAATATAATATATACAAGATCTTTTAGATTAGTAACTGAGACCTTATTCGACATAATGAATAACAAGTACCATTTTAAATTACATCATCTGTTTTTATCACTTTATTAGACTTGCATGACATTCAAAATTATCTATCCCTAGCCCAAATTGGCATTATGTCCGAAATTGTGTATGGAAGAGAAAAGGCAAATTATTATGACGGAGTAGTTATGGAAAGGCAGAGTTAATGGGATCGACGAAATTACAAAATCACAAAATTGATTTATGCACATAATATCATTTTTAGAACTGAGAAATAATTTTATGATCACGTAAAAAGATCACGTAAAAAAACTATAAAAAAAAGGAATAAATAAAATTAAATCCGAAATTCAAATTTATTTTTAGATAGTGAACCGTCAAAATTTATCGAAAGAATCACTTAAGCAACTTAATATAATGTATTTTAATCGAGATAGTTGAGATTTTTTTAATAGTCATAGTAAATGAATAGATATACTGTACATGTTGATTTATCGTTATCATATTGTAATAATGAACTGAGACAAATTTCCCATAATAACAAGCAACTAATTAGCACATAATAAATATATCACAAAAAATCACACAATCAATAATGCATGACACACGCCCAAACAATAAAAGACTGCACAAATTATAATAAAATTTGCACATAGAATTTGAATCCCTACACTACATACACACCATACGTACAGTAACTATATAACGCCAACGATTCTCTCGGTTTGTTCTCTATCATTAAAACCAATTCAAGCATTTTATCCACTGAATTCAAAGATGGAATTAAATGTTCATGATTGTAGTAAATGCTCTAAACGTCAAAAGAACAGAAACTGCAATGAGTGTTTAGTTCACAATATTCATGATTGTCGTAAATGTGTTAAATGTCAAGATGATGATGATTTCTGCAGCGACCGTTTCTAAATTATCACAAACGAAATTATAACGATGGATTATCTAGCAGAGATAAAGATATCGACAATTCAATAAAAGAATGCAACAAATTAAATATGAATATCCATTTAAATTATTCGAAAGGATTCCTTTTGAAAGACTTACCAACGTTGAATATCTTGCAGAAGGAGGTTTTGGGTCAATTTATAAAGCAACCTGGTCGGATGACCAGTAAAAAAGTAGCTTTGAAATGGTTGTGTACGAGATTGTAATTTTAGTGATCATTATCTTGTATTAGACATTTATCACAATGTATATTTGAAGGATTAAACAAGGTTCACTATGAAATAATTATGTGCAGTAGAATTATCGTTTTCATGATAATGATGCGTATGCGTCAGATATGTGTTCGAGATTATATTTCTTTACAAGTCATTTATTATTCAGACATACACTTAAAAGCTCATGTATGTGCCTTCTAGTTATTTGTTATCGTCGTGTTAAGAATATAAATCAATTTATTTATGAAAACTGATATTATTTCCCAAAGGTACTCTGATACTGTAATTTACGGAATCGAGATCATCATTACAAAAGAAATGATGTTGAATAAAAAAAAATCATTAGTTAAAAACTAACATTAATCTTAATAATAGTTATGGAAAATGTCAGTTAATAATTAATTTCTACCTAGGAATATTACCCAAAAATTCGCTCTTTTATGCATGTATAATTTACAGGATCAACAAACGTGGAATTTAATATCGATATTCGAAATGACAATATGAATTTATAGCGAGCGTTAGGATCCTATCTATATTCTAAGTGCTATAAATGCAAGGTATTCGTTCCCACTCCACTTATTGTATTCACTATCATGTTTCAAATTCCTTAGCAGTTGATTGTTTCTCCGAATAGGGTCCCAACATTTTTAAATAATAAATTTAAAAACCATTTTTTATATAAACTACCATGCTATATACAATTCCTTCTGCCTCATAATTAAACCTCCATCCGGACTCATATAAAGGGAGTACATCACATATTTTCTTGATTAGGTTTTTTATCCACTGGTCTAAAATTGGGAATACGAGTTTCGCGTGTAAATCACATGTTGGCGAAACACCTGGATGAGGATCTCCTGAAATCACCTGAATCGTGTGATCTCGTGAAAACCCCTCTGATTTCAAACTACTTTTATTTTTTAGTTGCTGCTGTTTGTTTTTCTGTTTCAGTTTGACTTGGCATTTACTATACTTTCTTGTAAAAGGTAGTTATTGCTAGGATTGAGCACACTTTTAGGAGTTTCTTTATTAATCAGCTATCAAAATTTTTCATGTCCTTATGATGTCAATATTGGTATGTATGGCCAAAATAACATTTCTAATAAGATGTGTATCATTAATACAATTTGTATATATACACTCGGTAGACAAAAGTCTGGAATCGGGCGTAATTTAGGGGTAATTTCAAACGACTATTTTGCAATAAGGAAAGGTACGTACAATAGTACATTAGAAAGCTAAAATTTCAAACTTTCGAACAAAATAAAAAATCAATGTCAAACCCAACCAATACTCGTAAAAATTGCTAACTTACAGATTTTGAGCGTGGCGAGATTTTCGGCGCTTGGAAGTGTGGTTTATCCGAAAAACAAATTGGAGATACTCTGGGACGATCCAAATCTACTGTTCATAATGTTATTAATAAATACAAAGACTTTAGCTACACTACAGTTGTTACCCGAAGCGGTAGACCGCCAAAATTAGATGATAGAGCCACTGGAAGATTAATCAATATTGTTAAAGATGATTGGCAAGCAGTTGCTGAAATTACCAAAAAATTTAATATGAAAGAACTATATGATATGCTCTTCATGAATCTGGATTTTTTGGTCGGACTGGGACAAGAGAACCTTATATATCTGCAGAAAACTGTCAAAAATTATTAAAATGGTGTTTAGAAAGAAAAGATTGGAATTAGTAGTTTGATGATGAATCTAGATATTTAATATTGAGAAATGATTCCAAGCAATGGGTTTGGCACAAACCATATGAAAAATACGATGTTGAATGTCTTCTTCCTATCATGAAATCAGGTAATCAGGGAGTAATGCTATGGGGATGTTTTGCTCAAAATGCACTTGGACCTTTAATCGAAATTGAGGGTGGAATTACTGGTATAAAGTATATATAAATAATGGAACAGAATCTTCTGCCATTTCTAAATGATTTGCCAGATAGACTTTTTCAAGATGCCAATGCGCCAGTTTACAGATTTGGTCCAGCTAGTCAATGGAAAGAGGAAAATTTAATCACTTCACTTCCATGGCCTGTCCAGAGCCCTGATCAAAACAGTTTCAATAATAAGTTCTATTTCTAATTATCATAGAATAATTTATAATTAAATGATATGAATTTATTAAATACTCTTATTATAAAATAATCATTCAGTACATGAAATAGAGATTAAAAATAATAAAATACACTTTTAATACATTCTGAAATGTAAAAATTAGTAATATTTATTTGTAAATTCAACAAAATATGAAATAGCAAATTATTAATTCTAATAATAATAAATCACCACTATCATATTTTCATGAAATAGCATTCAAGAAAATTATTTCAAAAATTGTATCCTTTAAAAATAGTATATAATATAACTATAAGTAATCTAAAATAATATACATTCCATACTATTGATAAACTCTTTTCCAGTCAATTTTATAATTAGCTTTTTCATATAAAATGATTTCAAGTTTATACTTGATAGTATAACTTAGCTTTATATTTATATTTATAAATAAAGCAAAAAATTTACACATGAAATAAATAAAAAAATAATAATTATATTTTGTATTATGGATGTATAATATAAAAAAGAAGATTTGAAAAAAAAGCAAAAATAAAATATATAAATACGAGTAAAAAATTAATAAAAAAAACATAAAAACAAGAAACTAATACATATGCTTGCAAAGAGTTAGTACATGTAACAAACATGCTGAATTAGATTTAATAAAAAATTAATCCTTATCTCAAAATAACATATATATATATACTCGAAATAATATGCAGATGGATGTTATTTCGTGAAAATATAATAATAATATTCTTTTTTAGATTGCTATATATGTACACTCAGTAAATAAAAGTCTGAAATCAGAAAATAATCAGCAATATAGATTATGAAATTTTTGATACTATAATATTTTTTATAAATAAATTACAATAAAAAATATATTACTTTATTCAGTAAAAGTAGGACTTTTTATATAATTTAATATCGGATTGGATTTCCATTTACATCAATTACAGCTTGCACTTTTCTAGACATACTTTCAACCAATTTTTTAAAATTTCTAGTTTAATTATTTCCCATTTCACTGCAAGCACATCTATTAATTCTTCTAAATTTTTGGGAAACATTTATGAATTTATTTTTCCAATGCATCTCACAAATGCTTAATTAGATTTAAATGCAAAAAATAAGATATATTATTATATAATTTATTCATTCTTCATTATACTTATTATTTTTAATATTATGCTTTTTATCTCATTATTTATATCACAAATATATGATCACATACTGATTATATATATAGTAGTAATATAGTATGATTATCTAAAAATAATTATTATTATTCTTTATAATATATATATATATATAACTTATAAATTTGATTTATATATATATATATATAATTTGTATATATATATATATTAAAAATACTTTTATTATAATCATTATCATATGTTATTAACATTATTATTAACCT